GCATGAATAATATAAATAAATTGTTGCACTGTTCAATATTATAACTAAATGTTTAAAGTTTTTGTTTTATAAATTCAATTTTGACAAATATTTCAGCTACATGAAAAGAACAGAGTCTCTCTCTATCAATACCAGTGTTCATTCTGGGAACCAAGTTCCATAAAAGCTTCTCCAATGCATTAACTCAAATGAATATCCTGATGAGGGATGTGCTAAAAAGCATTTTCATTTTTGAGTTGCTTCCAGGGTTTTATGTTAAAGCAGACATTTCTTTATAGTAAATACCTTAAAATAAACACACACTGTAATAATGTAAGGCAAAACATGAAAAGATGAAATATTTATAATCTGCTGACTTTAAATAGCATGTGTTAAATGTAATCTCTCAGATCAGTAAGTAATCAAATATTGCTGCCTCTTTTATGGTTACCAGTGAGATTTATCCTGGAAGCACTATGCCCCAATATAGCTTTTACTGGTACTGCTACTGGGTGATTTTCACTGAAACTACTCTATAAAGAGATGCTGAAAAGATCTTGATCAGATAACCAAACATCAGTTTTTTTGTTTTTTTTTAAAGGCTTCTTGGTTGAAACAGATATTTTCAGCACCAACAATTTTCATATTAGTAACATGAATCAACATTTTGAGACCTTTATTTATATTGTGTTTGTTGAGAAAAAATTGTATAAATTAAGATTTTGCAAAACAAATTAGACACATTCAAATTATAGTGGACACATCATTAAATTAATTAATCAGTTTTAGGTAAGCAAAAAACTCTTCATATTGAAAATTATTAATAAGATATCCCAACTGAGTGGATAATAACTTAGAATAAAATTTAATTTATAATTTACAGAGAAAGACAAAATTTACACAGCATTTAAAACCTCAAATTATTAATCTGCAACGTTCAGCTTTTAAGTATGTATAGTTATTAAGTTATTAGAAATTTTATACTCTTCAAGTAACACACTTTAGAAAAGAGTTGAACATTCTTCTGTTAAATATTTGTACATATTTTGTGCCTATCATTATGTCTGTGCAATAGGCATAAATAAAAAGAACAATGTATAGTGAGTCCAAGCAGTTCACATGATAATACCAGTAGCAGCCTAATGTAACAGTTCAAGTTGAAGTCATTAAGAAATCTTCCTGTATCTAGTCTAGTCTACAAAAACTGTCTTTATAAGAAGAAAAACAATTTTTGTAAATTACTACAACTATTTCTAGAATATAAAATTTTGGATTGACACTTTATTTGCCTTATTCTTTCCTTTCTCATTGAGGACAAGGTGAATAGTTTTACAAGGCAAATTTTTCACTGCTTTAACATTTCAGAGTTCTATATTTATTTTTAATAGTTGGTCTGAATGTTATGATAAAAGAATGAATCTTGTTTGTGCCTGAAGCCTAGTTTATTGGGTCAATTCAATAATGATTAGCTGAAGTTTATTTATATAAAGATAGGTACCTCCAAAAAAATAAATAAACAAACAAAGGGATGCCTATAGTTTAAAATGCATTTTAAAAACTGAAAAATATTTCTTGAAGCTTTTATTTTAGCTTTTATTCCAAGCCAATAGATTAAATTTATTATTCCCAACAAGCAAAATACTTTGTTGCATTTCAAACTGAATTTAAATTGATTGAAATCTTTTTTTTCTGATTATCAGTAAAATCTATAGAATCATCCATATTGACAAATCTGTCAACACAACATAATTCTCTCAAAAAATCTTTCAAAAATAAAATATACTTTTTTTAAAACGTTATTCAAGAAAAATTAGCTGATTTAAAGTTTAATTAATCTGTATTGAAACAAATATTGCTTATATTTAATTTAAAATATTACAAAGAAGTATTTTTAACACAGAGGTAGGTGCTGAATAATGTATTGACAGCCAGATGTTTGAGAAATTTAAGTAAGGGGACATAACCAAAATAAAATTACATGACAAATACAATGTAAATGCTTTTTTCATATAATTTTTTTTAACTATCCACTAAGATAAATTTAATATTTTAAGCATTCTCATATTTTATTCAATTTTAGGTATTTTGGTTCTATGAGCTTATTTACAAAGATGCTCATTGAGAAAATGTTAGAAAATTACCAATAAATTTTAAATTTACTATAGGTACTACTCTTATTTTCTGATAATATCATGAATGGACACTCATATTTATAAAAATTTACACACTTATATGCACATAAAATAAAATCAAGATTAGTAAATAATTTTAATTTAATAACAATATCAATTGACCACCACCAATTAATACAGAATTTTAAAAGATTTGAAAGTTTATAAATTATTCTAATTAAAATTTAAAAAAGAAAAACAATTCCTGTAAAAATTCATTACTTATCGAAAAAAATTTTATCTTAAGACAAATGTCCATAATATATTTTATTCATAAAAGAAATTAAAAGCTTTTCTAATTAAATGATGTCTTAGTTTTATTTCATTTTTTTATTTTATGATTCAGAGCAGATTTTCTGTAACTGGGGATCCTGTTTTACCAAAAACAATTGGTGATTTCCATTCTCCAAGGACTTGTCCTTATAATTAATATAAACATTAAGTGATACAAAAAATAATTTCACAAAATTAAATGAGTAGGGGAGTGCCGATGTTAAAAAAAAAAAAGAAGTAAAATGTTTCAAGAATAATTTATTTCTAAAGAAGTCCTGAAAGTTTAATTAAAATCTGACAATTATCTGCTTTTTGCAAGAATTTACAAATAATTGTGCTTTTCAAAACAAGAAGATACTCAAATTTCTTATACAAATTTATGGCCCCATGTTAATGCCATAAAAAACAAGATTTTTAACAATAATTTCCAAGGTTCTAAAAAGGATAAAAAACTCACAGAAAAAAATTTTTTGATCTTTCATCTTAATAATAATAATAAACATTTTGACAATAAAAGTTTGTTTTCATTATTTTTTTATGCATTTCTTTTCATCATGTATCCAATTTTTCAACAAATTTTTTGTAGTACCTATACAAAGCATTGCAATGATTGGCTGTTTTTGTTTAGCAGCATATCAACCACTATAGGTCATTTAATGCTGAATATACTGCAATGTAATGTAATTTATACCAATTCCATACTTGAAGTAGTTGGGTGATAATTATTAAATTATCATTCAATATTAACATTAATGATAAAAATAATAAGACAAAAGAAAACACCTGAGTAAAGTTATTCACAAACAGAAAGTCACTGTGTCCTATCAAAATAAAAGTAATGTACTTTGTAAAATCTCTCAACAAGTAAAATAAAACCATTGTTATTTAAAGTAATTGACAAATTAATTTACTTATTGTTGAACAGAATTAAAGAATGAATGTGGATAAAAATTGTGTTAAGACAATATATAAAATCTATTACAGGATTATATCATTGAGATAATAAAGCTTTTATAACCAGATGTGTCAACATAAATAATTATACTATGAAGACATCAATAACAGTGTTGAAGTGTTTACCCTGAGCATAGTCTACATGGCACTAGGGTGAGGTGTGTGGTTGGGAGAAAAAGGAAGTCTCTTATAAAAAGCCTCTGGGAATGGAACACTTTGGCCTACTTACCTATATTAGTAATTGGCTAATTTCATCACACAAAACTGCAGTGATAATAATAAATTATGTTATAAGAGAAAAGTTAAATAGAATAAAATTGGAAAAATATATATCAAAATCCTATTTTTTTAATCTTTTATCTTTTTCTGGTAACCCTGCTTAACTTCCAATTTGATTTTTTTTTTATCAGAAAAGTCAAAAATAAAACTGCAAAAAATTACTTTTCAAAATTTTATGTTACTTTAAAAATATACTTGAGATTTCATTAACCTAGAATCTAATATTTTGATAATTTGAAAATCAGTAGATTCCACTTTAATGGGATTCAACTTCACCAGTATCAAATTGAACCAGAACAATAACAATTTTATCATAAATAGATAACTTAAGTGATTGAAAAAAGGTTAAATATAATCTCTGAAGTCCATTACAGGATAGGATAATGTTATAAACCTATAAGGAAACTAGAGTAAAATATCATGTTTGTTTTAGTAATCATTTTAATACTTAACAAATCTTTTATATATGTGTGTGCATGCACACATACATACATACAATATAAGGATAACTTTGAAAAAACCTGTTTGAAGATAATCAATATTAAATAAACAAAGAAAATAAAAGGGAATTTTTATAGTTGGCATATATTATATTTATCAGGTGCATTTTTTTTTTTTTTTTTTTAAATCAGAATCACCCCAAGCAAGGTAGTAATGCCACTAAAACACAAGAGGTTACAGGGTGTGGAAAAATTAGGAACAGAAACATTAATGATGAGCAGAAAGAGACGAGTGTAATCAGGGGACAGTAGATAGCATTGCATTTAAATTTTTGTAGATTAAAGTTGGCTGGAAAGCACCACAAGTGTGAGAGAAAAAAATGTTAGCATAGAATTTATGGCTAAATCTGTAGCTAGCTCAACAGTAAATTGATGAGATCTTGACACCAGTCTAGTGCTGCACTTAAATTCAAAAACTCTAGGTGCCATAGCAAAGAGCTCATTTGAACAATTACCATGAAAGTATTTATAGAAAAGACATAGCTACTGAAATTCTTATCCTGAAAAAGAAAACATTCAAGAAAAAAAACAATTCATATTTAGTCATTAAATCAATTTTTGGAAAGTGGATCAAGCTCCAAAATTTTTCAACACCCCCTCATATATATATATATATACTAGCATTCTTCTTTTCTCTTGACCGAGCTGAGTCAATCAGAGCAGACATGATCAACGATGATGCAGTCAGCTGCTGCCAACCAGATCTGTTTTCTGCCTCATGAAACAGCATTGGAGTGTCCATCCTAATCCATTCTTTGATGTTGTCCATCCAGTTTTTGGACTGCCTCCCTATACATCTTTTTAAAACTATGAAGTTATGGAACAGATCCCTCTGATGTTGCAGATGTTTCTCCATCAGAATGCGGCAATTGAATATCTGTGTCGCAGTGTGCCCAAACACCACTCCCACCTTTTCTTAAACAACCCCGGATATGCCTGCCGGTAGAGAAAGGTCACGACCCTTGTGTGCTAAAAATAGCAACGACATCCTTTCAAACTGACAGAAACACACAAAACTCAATTTTCGCCACTAAACAAAAATAAAAGACCTTTAATTTCGAACCAAAATTAATTTAAATACAGTCAACAAACACCTAACACACTTTTTGACTGTAATTAATACGGCCAAATTAATTATATTCATTTACTTGTTTAGCGCCACCGCTTCTCTTGTATGAACCGGCCATATCTAGATGCCCGAGACTTCACAGCGGTTTTTAGCTGGCCAGGGAGCAGGAAGCCTTCCTGATTCGCGACTTTGACGCACCCAGTCAAGTCGACCAAGCCCAGCAGCTGACGGGACCCAGCAGCAGTAGCAGCAGTTGTTCAAACAGTCCTTTTCAGGGCTAACTTCCGAAAGTCATTCGATCACCACTCTTCAAGGCTCCACTCACTTCACTCTTTGCTACTGCCTTCCCTCTGAGATGCCAGCTCACTCCTGCAGCTTCCAGCACTCCTACCGCTTCCAGCTCACTCATGCAGCTTCCAGCACTCCTGCAGCTTCCAGCAGTTTCCAGCTCACTCCTACTGCTTCCAGCTCACTCCTGCAGCTTCCAGCTCACTCCTGCAGCGCTCTACTGACATCCCACTACCTATTCCAGCACTCGCTGACGATCTAATCCAGTGCCCACGTTACCACATTAACGTCCGAACAAACGACCTCTGTCGTCTTACCATCCACCGTTCACAAATAAAGACACGATTTCCATCGTCTACAACGGACCATCTGCATTTGTCATCCTTCTTTGCTATTGCCATCTCCTTGCCTTTGTGTCCCCTATTTTAGTTGTACGGTAAATTGGCACTCACACCTCTCGGCCCGCTGCAACATCTGCTCCACAGTGTCTGCCCTAAATCCAGCTTGTTCTTCTGCTAAATTTTCTTCAGCCTCTTTCTCAAGTCTGTTTAAAATGACTCATAGCATGATTTTACTGGTGTGGCTAATGAGGCTGAAGGCCCTTTAGTTCTGTCAATGGCAGAAGTTTCCTTTATTGGGGCATGGGGATGATGAGTGTTTGTGTCCATTCTATGGGCCACTGTTTTGTCTCTCAGATTTTCTGGCAAATTGATGTTATTACAGTGACCAATTCATTCATTCCCTCCATGTTTAAGCTGTTCTGCTGGAATATTGTCTGCTTCTGGCAACTTCCCTGTTGGTAAGCTGCTTGTGGCTTCTTCCACCTCTTCCCTCAATGCTGGAAGTAGTGAGGGTATCCTCGATAATGTTCAGTCCCCATCAATCAAACTGATGTCTGGTTGTATGGGATGGTTGTATAGGTCCCAACAGTATTGTGTCCATCTGTTCAAAATTGCTGTGTTTTCGGTTAGAAGTTTACCTCAATGACTGTGAATCTGCTCCACCGTGACTTCGTAAGCTTTTACAATGTATCATATGCTTGTCTGTTGTTTCATTTTTTCATTCCTTTCTTGATGTTTTCACACTGCTGGTTGATCCAACATTCCTTGACTACCTTCATCTGCTTGCGTATTTGGTTGTTTGTTTCATAGTACACGGCGACACTTTCAGAGCTGGATTTGGGCAAAAAGGAGTTGGGCAAAATACATATTTTCGCTGGCAAAAATACAAATATAACAAAATAATGAAGAAGGATGTTATTTTGTTATATTTGTATTTTTGCTAGCCAAAGCATTCTTTGTCCTTTGAGGCATGGTTCTCCCGGAAAAAGAAAGAAAGCACACACAACTTGTTTATATATGAGAATGTCATGCAAATTTTTGGTCACACCTCAACCAATCACTAGATATAAACAGGTGCTGCATATTTCTGGCAAATTGGCTCTGAGTTGTTAACTGGTGTAAAGAAGAATTTTGTGAGACAAGCAGCTGCTGTATCAAAGTTTATCCCTTCAAAATCCTACAAACTATTTTGGCATCATGATGGATAGGATATTTGACATCAAGTTGATACCTGAATTTGATGGCTCAGTGACTGGACAATCAGATACTGAAAGGATTAAAAAAGCAGAACTTGTTTGCAACCTATGTGGAATCAAGAAAGTTGAATGTTTTCTTCCTTTGAGATTGACTGGCAAGGCATATACCATCTACCAGCAGCTAAGTATAAAGCAAAAAGCAGAGGCCAAACAGATAAAATGATCACTGCACATTGCTTTACATTGGATTGTTTCCTAGCCTACGAACAGTTTGTGGAGTGGTGACTGCACCTTGACAAGTCAGTTTGATGGAAGACCTCATCACATATTGATGATATTTACATTGACAAGAGCATGACCTCAGTAGACTGCCTGAAAGAGCACTTGGCTGTTTTTGGTCTGACCTGCAAGGATCCAGAGTAGTTACAGGACAACATTAGTGTTCTGGGTCTGTGTGTTGAAGAGGAGAACAACTCACTTAATTGGAGGCATGGAAATGACATTCCATCAGTTCCTGAGGTCATGATGTGATGTAACATCTTCTCATGGTGTGGAAAGCAGGTGGGACACTTTCCTGTGTGTGGTTAGCTCTGTGTTGTTGCATCATTTGTTAAATACAAAACAGTGTTGATCATGTCTGATTGGGATGACAAAGTGACAAATGCTCACATGACTGAGGACATAGCAGCAAGAATATGCCAAAATGATCCTCCACACAGAAAGTGGTGCACAAAAGGACAGACATATGATGTGTGTGTTGATGCAAGTTTTCTCGCCACATGGGTTTTCATTAAATGTTGATGGAAGCATTGTAGAGAATGCATGTTGGTTGCAGCCTGTGAATAATGAACAACATAGCAATTTAGCAGAATTGGATGCTATCCTGAAGGGTGTCTATTTAGAACTACAGTGGGGTGCAACAGGGCTGCATCTCTCCACAGACTCTATATGTCTACATCAGTGGGTATTAGACATGCTCACTGGCAAAGCCAGAATACAAACTAACAGCAAATGAGATTCTGATCTGGAGGCATTTAAGTACTCTTGAAAAGCTGGTCCAAGAGTACAAGTTATTGATCACCATAACTTTAGCGACGTAAAGTCAGAATTGAGTGTATAAGCTCACAAGAGTAATGCAACTGTGGTATGAGTGATCAAGGAGGAGGTTGAGCCAGCATGATGATGGTGAAGGAAATTTCTCCAGACCAGATAAGTGCCATACTTTGTCAGTGGACATCCTGGTGTCAGAGAGACAATGTATTTTGTGAGACAAGTTCATCCTACGATATCCAAGGTGACTGTCAGGACAGTGGTCAGAAAATGTAAAGAATGTCAGTTGATTGACCCAGCCTCACATCATTGGCCATGAGGCAACTTAAGTGTGATTGGAATCTGGCTTGGGAATGGATATTACCCAATTTAGTGGACAACACTACCTTATGTTGTTTGACTGTGGCCCCATTCGATTTGTGATGTGGTGATGTATGTTTCAGCAAGACTCAAGACGCACCACCTGAGAACTGGAAACTATTCTTTTTGAATGAGACCCACTATCAGGAATGCTAAACAACAATGACACTGCCCTTTCGAAGTAAGTCCTTTAAAGATTTCTTGGATGACTGAGGAATTCAACTTAGTTTCCATTGTGTGTGTGTTTCTGCAGGAAACAGCATAGTGGAAAGATCTCATGGGAACCTAAGGAGAATTGCGGCAAGAAAGCACTGTTCGATAATGGAGGCAGTGTACTGGCATAATATTGCGCCAAAGAATGACACATGCCTGCCAATATGATTCACCATCACCAACTTGTGAAAAGAATTAGTACAATGTTACCATCTGATCATTGTAAGAATCACTATGTACAGAGTTGGGAACAGAGTATAGGTGAAAGCTTTACAAGGCCAGTGTACCTCCAGGTATCAAGTGGGTTGCATGACAGATATTGTAAGTCCACATACAATAATAGTTGAAGGGATGCCTTGGCATGCAAAAGATCTTTGCCTTTTCATAGACTAATAGGTGTGACACTGAAGACAATTTGTCATCTGAAAATTATTGGGTAATTGAGTTCCATGAATTTGATGCTTCCACAGATGCAAAGGTTCTGGATATGCCTGATGACTCCTTCCAGGCTGTCTGATTTATGATCCTGAGATGGTGGGGGGGTGTAGAGAAGAAAATGGTGACTTTCCTTGTCAAACCAAGTGACACTGTGTCATATATATACTTGTCAGAAAAAGAAAGCGTGCATGTGACTCTTGTATATAAACAGGTGCAGCATGTGACTGGTGAATTGGTTCTTCTGAGTTTTTACCCCGCATGAAGGAGAATTTCGTTAGATGAGCAGCTGCTGTATTGAAACTTATCCCTTCAAAATCCTACAGTGTAAATGCACACATATACAGTAGGGGTATTTGGGAAACAATTTTTAATTTGTGCAGTGTTGGTTAATCTTGCATTAGTCACCTCGGATTTCCAAAAATGGATAGTCCCCTCCTGCAACAACTGAGCTACAACTGCACCACACTACATAGTACATTACCCTCATGAGTCAGGAGGGTAATGGGAAGGAGCAAAAGAAACATGTTGCCAACTAGGAATTACAAGTACTATAAAAATCTTGGGGTAACAAAATACCCCATGTGACTAACACAGAGTAAAAGACCAAAAAAAGTTTTTGAAGATTTTTTTAATTCAATTTTTCTATTGTTTTGACCATTTTTCTGGTTTCCAGAAAAAATAAATAAATTGTCAAATCTCTTCTGAGCATATTCAAGCTATTATCTATGAATTTTCTAGTGTTGTGTGTGTATATATATATATATGCATGCATGCACTGTGCCTCTCTGATGGTTTTCAAGTGTTGGGCAACCTTAATGACTTATGCTTCTCCAGTTAGTGTTTTACTATTATTTGTATTTCCTTTCTTCTGAAAATTCTGAGCTGGTTAATGATAGGAGTGTTGAGGCATATTTAAATATGATGGAACAGCTAGTACTGACAAATGTTGCTGGTCCTTTATTACAAATAATTCCTTTTACATTACTGATGGTAATAATAATGATGATATTTGAGTAACTAATATTATTAAGTAGTTAGGTAGAGAAAAAACTAAAGTAAAATTACACCCTATGGTAGTGAGTATTGGAGATAAAATTAGACTACAGGAGGTTCCAACTTTGTATGTAAGATGCAGGATGATTTTTTTAGCCTATTTTTTAAATAAAAGTGTATATTATATGTCATTCATACATTACTTATACATGTGTGGACATGATGGCTGTGACACAATTTCAAGCAATGCTTATCACTTGATCTCTCCTCAAATATGGCAACATAGATGTAGCTTTTTAGTTTTGATAGGGTATTGCATCATCTTGCATAGTTGTAAAAACATTGAGCATCTTTTGCAGTAATTGTTATATAAATGTATCATAATGTGTAATGAATGATTTTTCTTTTTATGTGATGTCTACACTACATTCATTACAAGTTCGATCTAATTTTGCAGCAACATTTTCAGAGAAATTAACATCAAAACTAAACAAATATTTTCTATGTGCAACATGAATCTCTTTGAACTATGTGGATATACTCATATGCACAGACAGACATTCATACAATATTTTGATAGATTTTCAAAATAGTTATTGTTATTTAAAATAGTTTAAAATCTAATAATCAGTCTTGTTTAGCTGGAAAAATACTAAAGAAAAAATGTCTCTATAACTATACCAGTCCAGAAGACATCAGGAATTTAAACAAACATAGACATTTACCATTCTGGTTGGCACTAAGCATTCCGAAATCTACATGGGAATGAAGTAGACCTATTGTATAAACTGCAGTAAAGTCTGAGTTGGCTCCTTTTCAGATAAACCACAAAATATAC